ACTTGGGACAAAGCACAAAGCCGATAGGCAGGCACCAGGGCGGAACAACACATCACACAGAGCTCCTGAGGCTGGAGCCATGTGGGCCACACTCTGCAGGGCAAGCAGGCACCCAGCACTCGAGGGCAGCCGAGGCTGGGGTCTTCTCTTGGCGCCCCCCCGGCGCGACACGGGGCCGCCCGAGACCGAGCAGGGCGAAACGCACTATTCGAGCCCCTGCCTCCCTCGCGGGGCCTGGGTGGAGGGGGGTCGAAGAGTCCGCCCCGTGACCTGCTCCGGCTTGCGTTCCAGCCAGAATTTCGGAGGGAGCCAAGCTGCGGTGACGGAGCATCCCTCCCTTCTCCTGCGACCGGGGCGCGCGAAACGGGCAACCGGCTGCATACAGCTGGCTTCCCCAGCGCCTTCAAGCGCCAGAGGCGACCGTGCATCCAGAAAAGCGCCCGACGGTGAAGGCGAAACCAGATGCATGCAGCCGCTTCCAGACACTACACCTTTCTGGCGGCGCGCAGAGGGGGGGTAGGGGGAGGGGGAAGGCTTCTTAGAAGGAGGCTGTTTCTTAGAAGGCACCAGCCTTACATCTGCAGACAAGGCCCGCACCTTCCGAGAAGCAGGGGTGCTTCTAAGAAGCCTCCCCCCTTCCCCCAACCCCCCTCTGCGCGTGGATGACCTTCCCTGGGGCTGGCTTTCCATCCCGAGCCGTCCTCCTCCTCCTCCTCCTCCTCCTCCTCCTCCTCCTCCTCCTCCCCCTCCCCCTCCCCGTCCCCCTCCTCCTCCTCCTTCTCCCTCCTCCTCCTCCTCCTCCTCCTCCTCCTCCTGCTCCTCCTCCTCCTCCTCCTCCTCCTCCTTCCTCCTCCTCCTCCTCTCCTCCTCCTCCTCCTCCTGACCCCAGGGCCCCCGCCAAGGGGCCGAGAAGCTGCCGAAAAGCCTGCCAGAGCCGCTCTGCCCGCGACGCGGGGAGGCCTGGGTCCGTCCAGCCCGGCACGGGCCCCGGGCGGAGCGGCACGGGTGTCCAAGGCCACGCGGGCGGTGATCGGTCGGAGGGGGAGGGCGGGAGGGCGGGAGGGGAGGGGAGGGAAGGGCGGGAGGGAGGGGGGAGGGCGGGAGGGAGGGAGGGCCGGAGGGAGGGCGGGAGGGAACGGAGGGAGGGAACGGAGGGGGGAGGCAAGCTAGGTGCGTTCGCGTCATATCTGACGGCCTCCGCCTCCCTCCCATCCCTTATCATGGCGTAGACACCCTCTCTGTTTGCAAGGTCGTATGTCGAGCAGGGCCATGATCGCGAGAGGGTTCGCGATGCATGGTAGAGCACGGCATGGCATGGAGTAGAACACGGCAGAGCGTAGCAGGCCGCAGCATGGCGCAGCATTGCGCAGTGAAGCATTGCATCACAAAGCATTGCAACGCAAAGTATGGCATCGCACAGCGGCGCAGAACACAAAACCGTACAGCATGTCATGGCATGGCGCCAGGATATTTTGGAGGGTAAGTGGATCGTCTTCGAGAGGTCTGGGCTGGTCTGGAGTCGTGGCTCCATGTCTAGCTCTTTGGGATTCCCGAAAAGTTCCACACAAAGCGGAGCTGATAGAGAGCACCCGCTGGCTCTGCTTTCAACATCGCCTTCTCAAAGCAGAAACAGGGCTCCCGCTTGATACTCAACGACGCCCCAAAGTGGGGGGGGACGTCTGCGGCCCAAAAAATCAACGAATCGACACCGATTGTGGAATCACTTCCGATGGTTTTGTCGGGGGGCATGTTCTAGATGTTGAGGCCTACTAGGAAGGAAGGCCAGCGCTGCAGCGGGAGCACGATTCGGAACGAGCGGAAGCGCGGCAATGAGGCCAGCGCTGCAGCGGGAGCAACATTGTTTCATTTGATTTATCTTAAATATAGTATATAATAGTTGGATATATATATATATATAAAAAAATATATTAGCATGTAGGTTTAAAAAGGAATAAGAACAAATATTACACTAATAATCCTGTGTGGAAAAAGTACGCGGAGGGGCGCCGGATATCTTCTGGTCGTCATCAGGGGAGAGAGGAGAGCAGTATTCATACAGTGTAGCTGTGAAGGGAAGGGAAGGGAAGGGAATAGAGAGGGAGAGGAGGCGAAGGGAAAGGAGGCGAAGGGAAGTGAAAAATGGGGAAAAAGGGGAAGGGAGGGGAGGGAGGGAAGGGGGAGGAAGACGCGAAGGAGCGAAAGGCCGGGGCCGCGCGAGCTCCGATGGGGAGCCCGCCCGCGCCCACGTGGGGCACGGCGCGGAGGCCGCGGCCTCGAAGGATGCTGGCAGCCGTGCCCGCCCGTCGGAAGGAGGGCGGAGGCAGGGAGAAGGGCCGAGGCGCCTCGTTCCGTATTTGGGGTTTGTTCCTCCTCCTCCTCCTCCTCTTCCTCCTCCTCCTCCTCTCCTCCGCCTCCTCCTCCTCCTCCTCCTCCTCCTCCTCCTCTCTCCTCCTCCTCCTCCCCCTCCTCCTCCTCCTCCTCCTCCTCCGCACTCCGCCCTCCTCCTCCTCCGCCTCTTCCTCCTCCTCCTCCTCCTCCCCCCTCCTCTCCCCTCCCTCCCCTCCCCTCCCCTCCCCTCCTCCCCCCCCCCCCTCCTCCTCCTCCCCCCCCCCTCCTCCTCCCTCCTCCTCCTCCTCCTCCTCCTCCTCCTCCTCTCCTCCTCCTCCCTCCTCCTCCTCCTCCCCTCCTCCTCATCCTCCTCCTCCTCCTCCTCCTCCTCCTCCTCCTCCTCCTCCTGCTCCTCCTCCTCCTCCTTCTCAGAGGGTGGAGGTCGGGAGAAGTAGGTAGAAACATGAAGTAGGAAGGCGCTGAAAGTAGAATGGGCTCCGTCCGCCCCCTAGGGAGGACGGGAAAGGTGAAGCCACGCCATCATTGAAGTAGGAAGACGCTTGGAGTAGATTGAGATCTGCGAGTCCAAAAATACCTACTTTCAACGACGGGTGGGTTACTGCGATGTTGTTTAACGGCGACGCTGAGAATCTGGTTCTGGCGAGGCCGAACTCGCGCAAAACAAAGTGGAGGAAATCACGCGAGCAACGCTTTCCTACCATCGGGCTGGCCACGAACCATCCACACCTACAATACCGAAACTTACATCGCCGTTACCTACATCGCCGCTAGCGCGTCTATGGGGCGTTGGCAGTTGGCACGCCCGAAGCTGGTGCGGAACAAATGGGCACGATGCCGAACAGCAAACGCTGCCCAAAACCGACAGCGGCCGCTGTCGGACAGGCAACTTCTTGACTTGGAAGGACAGCGACCGCGGCGACCCCAGCAGCGCATCCTGTTCAGAATGGGCAGGAACTGCTATCGGTCTTCGTCACCATTCTGTCCCTGCCCATTTCGGTCGATTTCCGGGTCCTAACTCAGGCCTGGCCGGGGCACCACCAGAACGCCCTCGGCAAGGCGCAGCCGCAAGAGAGAGAGCATCACGCGAGGCTGGGAGTCCCCCCAAAACCGACGCAAGTACTGAAAACTTCAGGGCTCGCGCCTCCCTTCTGATCCGACCGAGCCTGAGCGCCGATCTGTCGCCGTTCGTCGCCGCCCGTCGCCGCCCGTCGCCGCCGCCCGTCGCCGCCGCCCCAGAGCCGGTCTGGCCGGCTCGCCGCCGCCCGTCGCCGCCCGTCGCCGCCGTCCGTCGCCAGGGCTTGCGCTCGTCCACTCGCACGCATCCACTCGCACAGCCTCGCAAAGCATAGCAGAGTACAGCAGCTCACAGTACAGTATAGCACAGCACAGAACAGCTGCACTGCGCTGCACCGCGTCGCACTATTGCGTTGCATTGCGTCGCAGTTCGTTGCGTTCCTCTGCATTGCTTTGTATAGCTTGGAACCGTTCCGCATTGCTTTGCACTGGTTTGCACTTAGTTTGCAGATTGCGTTGCATTTTTTGCATTGACTTGCATCGAATTGTATACTTGTGTATTGTTCTGCATGGTACCCCGCTGCTTTGCAGTACTTTGCATTGCTGCATATTGCGTTAATGTGCTTTGCATTCCTTTGAATTGCATTGTACTGTTTTGAAATGCTGGGCACTGTTGGCAATTGCGTTGTATTGCTTCGCTTTCCTCTGCATTGTTTTGAACTAAATTATTTGGCTTTGCTACGCATTCCTTTGCATTGTTTTGCATTCCTGCGCTTCGCTTTGCATTACATTGCATTACTTGGCATTGTTTTTCGCGTGGTTTGGGCTTGCTTGACATTGCCTGTGCGCGTTTTCTTTTGCGGCGTTTCGACCTTGGGCGGAAGAGGGGGGGGGAGGGGGGGTCTTGGCTCTGGATATCTGCTCAATGCGACTGTTTGCAACAGTGCGTCCCATGGGGGGGAAACTCCACCTGCTCGAAACAGGCGCCAAAAACAGCCAAAATCTACTCCATAGGGGGGGTGCGAGGGCCCGCGCCGATCGGCAAAAAAACGTATAAGAAAACGATAACCTTGCAGTCCTTTGCATGGCTTTGAATTAATGTACGTTGAATTGCATTACCTTGCGGTCTTTTACAATGATGTGCAATACTTTGCATGAAATTGCATTGGTCTACTTTGATTGCACTGCTTTGCATTGCTTTGAATGGTTTTGCATCGGTTTGTATTGTTTTATGTTGCTTCGCACTGCTTCGCATTGCGTTGTATCGTTCCGCATTACTTGGCATAGCATTCCATTACTTTGCAATACTTTGCATTGTTGCACGTTGCATTACTTGTTTTGCAATAGTTTGAACTGTTGTGTATTGCTTTGAAATGAAGGGAAGTGCTTGGCATTGCGTTGCATTTCTTGCATTCCTTTGCATTGGTTTGCATTCCTTTGCTTTGCGATGAATTCCTAAGCATCATTTTACAATACATTGCATTACATTGCATTACTTGGTAATGCTTTTCGTTGTTTGGTCTTGCCTGACATTGCTTTATATTAGTTGTATTGCGTTGCGTTAGTTTGAACTTACTTGCATTTAATTCAATGCTTTGCTGTCGTTTGCATTGCTCCACACTTCTATTGATTTGTATTGAACTGATTGGCTGCACTGTTTTAAACTGCTCCGCTTTGCATTGCATTGGATTGGTTTGCATTGGTTCACATTGCTTTCTATTGCTTTACATTGCTTCGCATTGATTTGCAGTGCTTGTATTGATCGACATTGCATTGCGTGGTTTGCATTGTTTGACAGTGCTCTGCATTGTGTTGCGTTGTATTGCACTGCTTTGCATTGTTTGGCATTGGTTCGCATTGCTCGGCACTGCTGTGCACATCTGCACTGATTTGCCCCACATGGACCACATGGGTTGCGCCACATAGATTGCACCGCATTCGGTGCACCACCGAGACTGAACCACACTGACTCCACCACCTAGATTGCACCGCATAGGTTGCAAGAAATCACTGTTGTGGCCCACGCTGGGCAACATTCCCCAAACCGTGCTTGCACTCTGGGTCTCTTACGTATCTTGGCAGCGCGCACAAGGGGGTGGAGGGAGGAGGGAGGGCTTCTTAGAAGGAGGCTGCTTCTTAGAAGGCGCCGGCCTTACATCTATAGACAAGGCCGCGGCTTCTAAGAAGCAGGGGTGCTTCTAAGAAGCCCTCCCCCCTCCCCCCACCCCCCTCTGCGCGTGGCTGAGTATCTTCTGAACAGCTGGGCCTGGCTGGCGGTCCGCTCGGCTTGTCGCCGCCCGTCGCCGCCGCCCGTTCGGGGCAGGGCGGGCGGCCCAAACCGCTCGTCGCCGCCCGTCGCCGCCCGTGGCCGCCGCCCGCTGGCATTGCTCTGCACTGCTCTGCGTTGTGCTGTATTGCCTTGCAGTGATCTGCATGGCTTCGTACTGCCTTGCACTGCTCGTTGCTGTTTTTTTGTTGACTTGCTTCGCAGTCTTGGGCGTTGCGTGGCATCGCATTGCGTTGCTTCGCGTTGCACTGCGTTGCTTTGCACTGCTTGGCGCCGCGTGCGGCCAAAGAGGCCGACCCGCACGGGGGCAAGGCGCGTGGGCCGCAGCCCTCGCATGTCGTTCCTCCGTGCGACACCAGATTCAAATGCCGTCCAGCCTCCCTCAAAACTGCACCGTGCTACAGTCGGGGCGTTGACCTAAGGAACCCTAAATAAGGAACGAGGCCCTTTTTTTCCATAAGTTAAACATCGATTTCCTGTCGAAAACATAAGGAAAACCCGAGGCAAGCTGTGAAACACTTGAGGAACGCGGAGCCCCTCCCCAACCAAAAGGGTTCCTTCTGCAGGGCCCCGGCTGTGGGCTGAAAGAAATCACTGCTGAAAGATCACAGGAAATCACTGCTCGGGCTCCACGCTGGGCCGCTGGCCGGCGGGGGCGGCGCGCAGGGCGGCCCAGGGGGTGCGGCGCAGAGGCCTCGAGGCGAGCGGCGGACGCCTGCTGCCAGGCGCGCTCCTGGCGACGACGACGACGACGACGACGACGACGACGAGGACGACGACGACGACGGCGGCGGCGACGACCACAACGACGACGGCCACGGCGGCGGCGGCGACGACGACGAGGACGACGACGACGAGGACGCCGACGACGGCCACGACGACGACGGCCACGACGACGACGGCGACGACGACGACGACGACGACGACGACGACCACGACGACGACGACGACGACGACGACGACGACGACGACGACGACGACGACGACGACGACGGCTGCGGCGTCGGCGGCGGCGGCGGCCGCGGCGGGGGCGGCCGCGGCGGCGACGACAATGGCGGCGGCGGCGAAGACGACGTGCAGGGAGGAAGAGACATAAGGAGGAGGAGGAGGAGGAGGAGGAGGAGGAAGAGGAGGAGGAGGAGGAGAGAGGAGGAGAGAGGACGAGAGAGGGGGAGAGAGGAGGCGAGAGGAGGAGAGAGGAGAGAGGAGGAGGAGGAGAGAGGAGGAGGAGGAGAGAGGAGGAGGAGGAGAGAGGAGGAGGAGGAGGAGGAGACGAGGGTGGGCGCCCCCTCGCCCAGCCTGCCCTGCCCTCGCGCGCGGGTGGAGCGGGAGACTGCTGCCCTGCCAGGGCTGTCCTGCCCCGTGTGCCGCACCAGCCTTTGCAGCTCGCTGTTGCAGTACTGCACCTCGCGAGGGAGGGGGGCGGAGAAGGAGGAGGGGAGGAGGGAAAGAGGAGGAGGAGGAGGAGGGAGGAGGGGGAGGAGGCGAGGAGGAAAGGAGGAGGAGGAGGAGGAGGAAGAGGAGGAGGAGGAGGGAGAGGAGGAGGACCAGAGCAAACCCGGGATGCGTCGACGATGCTGTAGCACAGCGAACGGAGGCACATGCAACTGAGCCTTACCATTTCGGCCCCGCCCCAGGTGGGCGGGGAAGCCGACAGAGCCAAACCGCTATCACGGTGCATCGCTGCTTCGCGACCACGCGACCACAGCGGTTGATTGATCGCGTCTGCGACACCAGGATGGAACCATCCTTCAGAGGCACACCACCACCCTTAATGGGAGATCCTCCCCGAGCGCAGAGGAAGATGCGCGAAACAGGCGGGCGGCTTGGAAACAAAAAACAAAGAGAGCCCGGTGTATCCATGGTCTCATTTCAGGGTCAGCTGGCATAGATGGCCCAGGAGAGCCAACGCCGACCTGACGAACCGCGCATGGACACGCGTGGAGCCACACTGGGAAACAGTTTTCCGAACCACTCAGATGCGACCCTCCGCACTTGCGAAATTGTAAGGGTAACCCCCTCGTGTCTCGAGTTCTAGTGGGTGGTCCGTACAATTTCCGGCTGAAATGCACTGGCTTCCTGGGCGGCTTCCTGGAACTCGAATGCCTGAATCTTTCGGAGTCGGTCGAGCCGTCCAGAGGATAAAACGAAGTGGGGGGCATGCGAATCTCAATGCGTGTCACCAAGTGCATTCCAAAACTTGAGCACGGGCAGATACGTGCCCACAGTTCCGCCCCTCCTCGGACTCCAAACTTGCGCATGCTTTTTTTTCGCGCAGATCTAGGCGGCGCGAACCCCCTGCACTGAAGAGGCTCCAGGGCCAGATGCATGCGCGCACCATCGAACGGCAGCGCATACCAACAAAAAGCGCAAGTGCCAGCTGGGGGGGCCCAGGAGAAGATGCCGGCTAGGATCAGCGAGAGAAACAACGCGGTAGGAATGCGCGGTTCTCTACACACTCCCGGCACAAGGCCCCTCCTCACAAGTCCCTACAAGTGTCACTCTCCAGTGCAGAGGAGCGGCCTCCTTGAATGGGGAGCGCACGGTGGACCTGCTTCTCAGGAGAGAACCCGCTTGCTAGCTCCACACTCCATCCTTCCTCCATCCTTCTAGCTGATAGTAACGCAAGGTTCAAGGAAGCTTCCAGCGATAGCCACGTTTCGAAAAGGATCTGGCCTCCCTCCGTGGAAGCTTGTACACCTTGAAATCGATGGTCAAAACAATACAGTCAACGCGTATAATAAGGATGCGCGGTAAGGATGCAAGCCCCTTGAACGCCCAAGCTGAAGTTATTTGGACTAAAGATTACCTAAGGATAAGCCGAATAGGCAAGGATGCAAGGGTATCCTTGGGAACGCCACTCAACCTTACCATGCGCGTTGGCTGTATACGGGTGTCTCAAGCGAGAGACCATCTTGCACCGCCCTCCCTCCATGCAACTGTTGCACAACTCCATTGATGATGTCTCAAGCGCGAGCCACATCTTGAAAACAACCAGCCCACCATCCTTGCAACTGCCGAAAAGTTTGGAACAAGTGCGCGCAGCAAAAAGACGAGAGCCGAGTTTTTGAAGACCCCCATCACCCGGGCAGCCGAACTTCTGGATTTCTAGCACAAGTGCACACGGCGCCAAGGCGGGTGGCGAGTCTGCGCATCATGAAGACGCGCTCTGGCCCCGCTCTGCTCAGCTCCGCTCCTCACCATGTTCACCATAGTCATGATCGATGAAGCTCGGAGAGCATACAGCCCCCCCAAGCCTCTGCACGCAGGCGGTTTGGTGGATCGTCTCGTCTAGCCCTATTCTTCCCCTGTGGGGGGAAGAAGTCCTTCTCCCAAAGCCCAGCGTCTCAAAACGTCCCCGTAGCTTGGCCAGGCGAACAGAGTGGCTCGCTCCAAAGAGCACGTGCAGACGTGGTGCGGTGGCCGTTTCCAGCCAGAAGCGACGAGCCCTCCCGGGGCCATATAGGGACAATCTTGGAGCCCCCCTGGAGCTTTTCGAGCCTTCTCGGGTCATGTCCTGGCGCCCGTCCGCTGCCGCTGTTGACCGCGTGTCGATTTTGACAGGTCTGGGGGCCGCTCGAAGCACTTTGGGCAGTCTTGGGACTCGTGTTGGCCGCGTTGTGGTCCTCTTGGGGCTGTCTTGGTGCCCCATTGAGACTCGTTTGGGTCATATTGGGCCGATCCTGCGGGTCTACGAGGCCCTCTTGGGCGTGATGAAGCTCGACAAAGGCGAGCAGATGGAAATATGTTGGTGGGGTATAGTGGGCCCGTCTTGAAGCGTCTTTGGGGTCGTTGGGGCCAAATTGGGACCCTCTTGAGCCCGTCTTGGGGCCATGTCGGGCCCATTGTGGGGTCATCTTGGCCGTTGAGGAACATGGTGCAAAAAACGAAGCAGTCGAGGGCCAGTTGGATGGAGTGACACGTTCAATCAGGTGAAGTCTCTTCCTCTGGGTCTGGACAGGGGGAGCGGAAGCGGTCAGAGCGTCCAAGATTGCCCCACAGTTCTTCAGACCATTGCTCCATACTCCAAATAGCCCCAGATGGCCTCCAAGACGGCATAACGTAGTCGAAGCTATACATACATAGCCACAGTAATGCTTCCGACGAATTTCAATATGGGCGTAAGATGACTCTCAACTACTGGGGAGACCCGCAAGGATGCCCCGAATATGCCAAAACGTTTCAAACCCAGCGGTGTTTGAAAGGTGTTTGCCTTCTGGACGTTTAGCTTCTACTTGGCGACTGAGGCCTCAAAATGGCCCCCACATGGCCCAGTAGAACCTCAAAAAGGAGCCGAAATGGCCCAATGGGACCCAAGAGGGGCCCGAACGCCACATATACACACGTACATACATATATATATATATATATGTATGTATGAATGAATGTATGTATGTATGTATGTATGTATGTATGTATGTATGTATGTATGTATGTATGTATGTATGTATGTATGTATGTATGTATGTATGTATGTATGTATGTATGTATGTATGTATGTATGTATGTATGTATGTATGTATGTATGTATGTATGTATGTATGTATGTATGTATGTATGTATGTATGTATGTATGTATGTATGTATGTACGTATGTATGTATGTATGTATGTATGTATGCATGCATGCATGCATGCATGCATGCATGTATGTATGTATGTATGTATGTATGTATGTATGTATGTATGCATGCATGTATGTATGTATGTATGTATGTATGTATGTATGTGTGTGTATGTATGTATGTATATGTATACACACATACCCGCACTCTTTTCGGATGCGCCAGCGAATCGAAACAGCTGAGCAGGATGGCGGGCCACCCTCACAGCGAGCTGACCTCCCTGCGGGGCGGCGCGGCAAGTCTGGATCGTCCGATCGCCTCGCGCAGGCAGCCTCTGACGAGAGAGACGCCAGGCGGCGCGGGAGCGGAGAGGTGCGAGAAGCAGGCGCAACGCCAGCAGCCGCACGACCGAGGAGGGAGCACCACGAGAAGCGGGGGGGCACCAGCGCCGAGGGGCGACGGGCGGCCGAGTGGCCGCGAGACGCCACGAACGGAGCACTGAAAGCGACAGGCGTGCTGAGCCATATGGCAGGTGTAGAAACGGCAGTAGCCGGCCACCCACATCCTCCTCCCCCTCCTCCCCCTCCTCCTCCTCCCCCTCCTCCTCCTCCTCCTCCTCCTCCTCCTCATCCTCCTCCTCCTCCTTCTCCTCCTCCTTCTCCTCCAGCGAAGTGACAGCACTGTCGCGAGCGACAGCGACGGACACAGACGACCGCGCAGATCACCGCTGGGCGCTGCAGGCGACGGGCGGCGCGCAGCGGGCCGGCGCGCAGGCAGAGCGAAGGCCACACACGCACACCGTTTTCCTCCAGCGACGTCGAGTGGCGTCACTGCAGCGAGGGCTAAGGCGGGGTACGCTCGGCGTCAATGCCAACTGACGTGGCAAATGGGTGGGCTGCGCGGGGCGAGTCGCGTGCAGAAATGTATCCTGGCGAGGGGCCCAACCGCAGGCAGCTGTGAGGACTGCGGTTGCGAGCGTCGTCTTCGGTGGACCCCCCTGCGGAACCACGAAACGTGTGAGAAGGATGTGCCGGCATGGGTCCAGCGGGAGAATGCGGGCCATCCTGCTGGAGCCTTCGGTGGAGCACCTTTGGGGGGCCGCGAAACGTATGAGGTGTGTCCCGAAACGGGCGCAGCGCTGCCATGTGGGCCTTGCCACTGGAGCCTTCGGTGGAGCCCCCATATGGAGTCACGAAACGTGTGAGTGAGGAGTGTGCCGAAACTGGTGCGACGCTGCCATGCGGGCGCTGCCTTTGGGGCCTTCGGCTGAGCTCCGTATGGGGCCACGAAACGTGTGAGAGGTGTGCCGAAACAGGTGCGGCGATCCACGCGGGCGTTGCCACTGGGGACCTGGGTGGCGCTCCTTATGGAACCACGGAACGTATCATGGGTGTCCTGAAACGGGCGCGGCGCTGCCATGCGGGCACTGCCGCTGGGGCCTTCGGTGGCGCCCCACGCATGGGGCCACGGAACGCGTGAGAGGGGTGCCGGAACAGGCGCGGCGCTGGCATGCGGGCGCTGCCACTGGGGCCTTAGGTGGAGCTCCCGATAAAAGGGGCCACGAAACGTGTGAGTGGTGTGCCGACGCGGGCGCGGCGCTGCAATGCGGGCGCTGCCTCTGTGGCCGTAGGTGGAGTTCCCTACGGGGCCACGAAGCGTGTGAGGGGCGTGCCGAAACGGCAGTGCGGAGGGCAGAAGGACGGGGAGGAGGCAGGTGGAGAGGAGAGGAGAGCAGAGCAGAGGAGAGGACGCGGGGCTCTGTCTCTTCAAAACGAGGACCCAACACCACAGGATGGTTGGTAAAAATGTAGCTGAAGGCCACACACACCTGTTCATCCAGCG